TATGCTGATGTTTTTCAGAATATCATTTTGTCACACGAGAGGCGATGCAGACAAGGATAGAAAACGGAGACTTCATTGAGCACACAGAGTTTTCAGGGAACATGTACGGGACGAGTAAAGAGGCTTTTCAAGACGTCCAGGCCAAGAACCTCATCTGTATACTTGACATTGACATGCAGGGTGTGAGGAGCATTAAAAGGACCGACCTCAATCCCATCTACATCTCTATCCAGCCGCCATCCATGGAGGTCCTGGTAAGCACAGCCAGATATACACTGCATTACATCACCAAACCGCACTGCACTCCTGTGTCACTGCCAGAGAGGAGTTCCTGGGTGTCACCTCAACTTTTCTTTGATCCACAGGCACCTGGTAATACAGGTTTTAATTGTTGCTTTAAATATCCAAGTAGGCAGCCCAGGTTCAAGTCTTACCTGTCGCTCCTTTATCACATGTCATTCCCCACTCTATCCACTGTCCTATCAAATAAGGCAAAAATCCCCACAAATAAATCTTAAAAAATATATATGTGTATACATTTCTGAACGCCCTCTGTTAAATGAGCACTTTGTCGATTTGTGTCGTTTCAGGAACACCGTTTAATAGACAGAAAAACGGAGTCAGAGGAGAGCCTCCAGAAGCGTTTACGTGCAGCCAGAGTGGATATGGAGATTAGTAAGTATCTATTCTTTGTCTGCATAAAATGTAATAAAAACGAGCTTTTTAAAAACATAAATCTAAACATAATTCTATCTTCTCTCTCCTTCTAGGTAAAGAGCAAGGATTATTTGATACAGTAATTGTCAATGATAGTTTGGAGGAAGCTCATGGGCAGTTAAAGGCAGTTCTTCTTGAGGTGAGTTACTGGTGCAGCACTCACACCTTAACTTGAAATGATCAAAACAAAACAAATGCTACAAGTTGAGCATCAACAAACAGGCTTTATAACATTTGCACAGAAGGCTTCACAGGCTTTTGATTTATGGGAAATTTAAACGAGCCAGTTTAAAGCTAAAACCAAATACTAAACTCAAAGATGAATTAAATCATTTTAAGTGTTAGCATGCCAGGCTAATCAGCTTGATAGCTATGTTAGTAACCCAGCCTTTCTTCTAAGATATTTGAAGTCAGCTTTTAGCTTGAGTATTAGGAGTTACAAGTCCAACATTAAAAAGCCATCTCGCCAAACTTGCTCTTCTTGCACGGTGGAGGCATTCAAGCCAGAGACAGTATTGAACCTGTGCACACTGCTATCTCTTCAGCAAGAGTTGCATGGTCTTGTTCCACATTTTTTTTTATAAATTGTTGTAGATTTGTCTGTTTTTCAAACATTACCTGTGTAGTCATACATTTTTCTTCTTCTAGGAAATACAAAAGGTCAAGAAAACCAACATGTCTTCGTAGGATACCGCAGCATCCTTGCACCTTTTTAGTCCAGTCGATCCACTCCTCACAAAATCACAGACCTCCTCTCAAGTCGAGAACATTCCCTCCGCTGGTCTGTGAAGCTCAGATGTCCCTTTGACATGGTATTCAGGAAAAGTTATTACCAAATGATATGTAAAGTGGAACATTTTTTTTTTATTATCAACAGGAAGCATTTCCATGTTTTTGTTTTTATTTGTATGACGAAAATATACTCCAACAATGCTTACTTGTAAAGTGTGGGGCTTTGTTTTCAGTGTGTTTGAGGGCAGAGTCGACCGATAAACAACACAAGCGGAGAAACAAAACTCATTCCATTATGTGGACAAACCGGTCTTATCAAGGGTGGGGCAAAGTACAATTCTGGATATCTTGATTAGAGAGAGTTAGTTATGCTACCTCTCATTTGAGGTCTTTCTTTTTCTACAACCCGTCACATCATGGTGATACAGATGTGCAGTGTGATGAATAAATCACAGACTCAGTCAGGGTTTGATCTCAGGCCCCTGCACATGATTAGTTCAGGGGGGGAAACTCCAGCTCTACAACTGATTTCTGAAAATATGGTGGCTGTTTTACTTTCATAAGGTTCATGTAGTATAACTTTACTGATTAAATCAACTATTCCAGTATATCTTCTTACAGGTTGTTGTACATTTTTAGGGTTTGTGCTTGCTAAACTCCATGTAAGTGTTTAAAGTTGTGCTTCAGTAGGATTAAATCCCAGGGTAGAGGTCGAAACAGTTGCTTCAAACAAACCAAGGACACCATATGTCACGAGGATAACCGCTCTAAAATAACAGATGAAATGTTTACTTGGAAGTTGTACATTTTTTTTTATTGTCACTCTATCATGTTGTTGCTTCACCTGTACAGTAAAATGACACTTTTTTGACTTTGAAGGAAAATTAAACACTTTTTATTCTCAGAATGAAACACACCCACGTGTCCTTTAAGATGTCTGAGTAAGTTCTCAGTCATCCAGGTCATGGTCATTTGAAAGCTTGATCCAAAGGAAACTGGACTTGTTAAAGATCTTGACCAGCCCAGTTGCCTTTGGATCAAGCTTCGAAGTCCTTTAGACTTTCTGTAATTTGTTATGTTTTGCCATTAACAACTTTCTCTCAAACACAGTGAAAGCATACTTAATTATTTTTAGACACCTTTGTAGTACCAGTCCTTTGCAGAACGGTTTCTGTTATTTAAATTGTCAACCTAAATACATTTATAATGTGTAACTGTTACATTATAGACATTTAGATGCATGAAGTCATCTGATTTGATTTGTACCATGTAACCGGCCCTTACTAGAACGTGTTTTGTGAAAAAATGTCATTGTGTATGTCTAATCCATAAAACCTCCAACAGTACCACCGTTATTTCTGTTAACATTGAAATACATTTGTCACAGTACAATAGTGGAAGAAGACTGTGCCGTATGTGTTCTATAAATAAGAAGTGGTGAAAGAAACTGGCTCCACTTATTTTTTGCAGTACATTTATTTGATTCAGATTTAACACTGAGTACTTATACACATTTCCAAAAACTACACATGTACAGTAAAAGCAGTTACAATGTGTTAGTGCTTACATGTTTCATACTTGATATGATTCTTGTAACTAACAGACTCTGTAAAACAACACAAACTCCAACAAAGGGCACTTATTCATACGCTTCTTATTCAACTGCATTGAAAAGGTAGTACGGTACATTGTGTCAGCTCGAGTACAGTCACACGCACAAATATTTATTTGCGGTTAAATACGATATAAATCTGGTTACTCTGGATAAACAAATCTGCTTTGGAGAAGCAAACACATGCAATCACTCATCTAAACATCTATCACTTACATGTAAATCTATCTGTGAGATTCTGTAAATTCACTGCATAAGCAGACAGTAACGTCAAAGACAAGCAAACATTCACTTCACAATCGATGGAGGATATTTTGCTTCACAACAATAAATCATGTTAATGCATCGCGTAGCGTTATTTGATGTGAAAATGGTTTCCATTTCTACTACTACTACTTTTTTTTCACAAGCTGCTCAAACCATCTTTCACAACAAACCAAGTGACACCAGAAGTAGAGTCTTATTTTGTGGAAGGTACTCTAATTACACCATACACCTTGAATAAACTTGTAACAGTCCAAGGACCACAGTGGTCTCCAAAGGTCTGTTGTGAATGTGACATTATCAGTGTTGCACACTTCATTTAACTCTTAACAAGTAGACATGATTTCTTTAACTGCATTGATGCTCCTGTTAACCAAGGCACTGCATCAGTGTCGTAGGCAACATTTTTTGAAAGGTATAAAAGTAAAAGCATTAAATGTATGTACCTTAATACAGTACATGACCAATGCTGAACGATTCATCACTAAATCTAACACCTGGATCAATTAATATCCTCAGATCACGGTGTATGCTTTGGTAAGAGTATGTAAAAAAAAAAAAAAAAACTCTTGAAATTGAATTCAAAATCATAAGTAGAGATTGTCGATCAGTACGACAGACTGCATATGTCATAAACCTGTTACTTGTTGGGGCTTAATTTGCCTACAGTGAGAAAGTTTAAGTTTCAGATGTAGTAACTACACGTCAGGTTAGGATATGTGTTATTCTTCTAAGCAGAGACGTCCCTATTTAAGACTAAAAGGGTTTGTGGTGTCAAACTGAAATATTTAGCTACTATTTCTTTTGACCTATCTGAATATTGACAGAGTTTCCCACCGATGTGTAGCCGTAGGTCTTTTTCTTTTTTTTTTTTACTCCTCAGACACAACAAGAAAGTCTCGTCACGAAGAAGTGAATGGCAAAGGTACAACATTCTCCTCTTTTTCAACCACTGTAACCCTTAATCAAATTATATTTGTCCGTGGCACCACAGCTTTCTTAATCCTTATGCTGATGTTTTTCAGATTATCATTTTGTCACACGAGAGGCGATGCAGACGGGGATAGAAAACGGAGACTTCATTGAGCACACAGAGTTTTCAGGGAACATGTACGGGACGAGTAAAGCGGCTGTGCAAGACGTCCAGGCCAAGAACCTCATCTGTATACTTGTGACTGACATGCAGGGTGTGAGGAGCATTAAAAGGACCGACCTCAATCCCATCTACATCTCTATCCAGCCGCCATCCAGGGGAGGTCCTGGTAAGCACAGCCAGATATACACTGCATTACATCACCAAACCGCACTGCACTCCTGTGTCACTGCCAGAGAGGAGTTCCTGGGTGTCACCTCAACTTTTCTTTGATCCACAGGCACCTGGTAATACAGGTTTTAATTGTTGCTTTAAATATCCAAGTAGGCAGCCCAGGTTCAAGTCTTACCTGTCGCTCCTTTATCACATGTCATTCCCCACTCTATCCACTGTCCTATCAAATAAGGCAAAAATCCCCACAAATAAATCTTAAAAAATATATATGTGTATACATTTCTGAACGCCCTCTGTTAAATGAGCACTTTGTCGATTTGTGTCGTTTCAGGAACACCGTTTAAGAGACAGAAAAACAGAGTCAGAGGAGAGCCTCCAGAAGCGTTTACATGCAGCCAAAAGTGGATATGGAGATTAGTAAGTATCTATTCTTTGTCTGCATAAAATGTAATAAAAACGAGCTTTTTAAAAACATAAATCTAAACATAATTCTATCTTCTCTCTCCTTCTAGGTAAAGAGCAAGGATTATTTGATACAGTAATTGTCAATGATGATTTGGAGGAAGCTCATGGGCAGTTAAAGGCATTTCTTCTTGAGGTGAGTTACTGGTGCAGCACTCACACCTTAACTTGAAATGATCAAAACAAAACAAATGCTACAAGTTGAGCATCAACAAACAGGCTTTATAACATTTGCACAGAAGGCTTCACAGGCTTTTGATTTATGGGAAATTTAAACGAGCCAGTTTAAAGCTAAAACCAAATACTAAACTCAAAGATGAATTAAATCATTTTAAGTGTTAGCATGCCAGGCTAATCAGCTTGATAGCTATGTTAGTAACCCAGCCTTTCTTCCAAGATATTTGAAGTCAGCTTTTAGCTTGAGTATTAGGAGTTACAAGTCCAACATTAAAAAGCCATCTCGCCAAACTTGCTCTTCTTGCACGGTGGAGGCATTCAAGCCAGAGACAGTATTGAACCTGTGCACACTGCTATCTCTTCAGCAAGAGTTGCATGGTCTTGTTCCACATTTTTTTTTATAAATTGTTGTAGATTTGTCTGTTTTTCAAACATTACCTGTGTAGTCATACATTTTTTCTTCTTCTAGGAAATACAAAAGGTCAAGAAAACCAACATGCCTTCGTAGGATACCGCAGCATCCTTGCACCTTTTTAGTCCAGTCGATCCACTCCTCACAAAATCACAGACCTCCTCTCAAGTCGAGAACATTCCCTCCGCTGGTCTGTGAAGCTCAGATGTCCCTTTGACATGGTATTCAGGAAAAGTTATTACCAAATGATATGTAAAGTGGAACATTTTTTTTTTTATTATCAACAGGAAGCATTTCCATGTTTTTGTTTTTATTTGTATGACGAAAATATACTCCAACAATGCTTACTTGTAAAGTGTGGGGCTTTGTTTTCAGTGTGTTTGAGGGCAGAGTCGACCGATAAACAACACAAGCGGAGAAACAAAACTCATTCCATTATGTGGACAAACCGGTCTTATCAAGGGTGGGGCAAAGTACAATTCTGGATATCTTGATTAGAGAGAGTTAGTTATGCTACCTCTCATTTGAGGTCTTTCTTTTTCTACAACCCGTCACATCATGGTGATACAGATGTGCAGTGTGATGAATAAATCACAGACTCAGTCAGGGTTTGATCTCAGGCCCCTGCACATGATTAGTTCAGGGGGGGAAACTCCAGCTCTACAACTGATTTCTGAAAATATGGTGGCTGTTTTACTTTCATAAGGTTCATGTAGTATAACTTTACTGATTAAATCAACTATTCCAGTATATCTTCTTACAGGTTGTTGTACATTTTTAGGGTTTGTGCTTGCTAAACTCCATGTAAGTGTTTAAAGTTGTGCTTCAGTAGGATTAAATCCCAGGGTAGAGGTCGAAACAGTTGCTTCAAACAAACCAAGGACACCATATGTCACGAGGATAACCGCTCTAAAATAACAGATGAAATGTTTACTTGGAAGTTGTACATTTTTTTTTTATTGTCACTCTATCATGTTGTTGCTTCACCTGTACAGTAAAATGACACTTTTTTGACTTTGAAGGAAAATTAAACACTTTTTATTCTCAGAATGAAACACACCCACGTGTCCTTTAAGATGTCTGAGTAAGTTCTCAGTCATCCAGGTCATGGTCATTTGAAAGCTTGATCCAAAGGAAACTGGACTTGTTAAAGATCTTGACCAGCCCAGTTGCCTTTGGATCAAGCTTCGAAGTCCTTTAGACTTTCTGTAATTTGTTATGTTTTGCCATTAACAACTTTCTCTCAAACACAGTGAAAGCATACTTAATTATTTTTAGACACTTTTGTAGTACCAGTCCTTTGCAGAACGGTTTCTGTTATTTAAATTGTCAACCTAAATACATTTATAATGTGTAACTGTTACATTATAGACATTTAGATGCATGAAGTCATCTGATTTGATTTGTACCATGTAACCGGCCCTTACTAGAACGTGTTTTGTGAAAAAATGTCATTGTGTATGTCTAATCCATAAAACCTCCAACAGTACCACCGTTATTTCTGTTAACATTGAAATACATTTGTCACAGTACAATAGTGGAAGAAGACTGTGCCGTATGTGTTCTATAAATAAGAAGTGGTGAAAGAAACTGGCTCCACTTATTTTTTGCAGTACATTTATTTGATTCAGATTTAACACTGAGTACTTATACACATTTCCAAAAACAACACATGTACAGTAAAAGCAGTTACAATGTGTTAGTGCTTACATGTTTCATACTTGATATGATTCTGTAACTAACAGACTCTGTAAAACAACACAAACTCCAACAAAGGGCACTTATTCATACGCTTCTTATTCAACTGCATTGAAAAGGTAGTACGGTACATTGTGTCAGCTCGAGTACAGTCACGCGCACAAATATTTATTTGCGGTTAAATACGATATAAATCTGGTTACTCTGGATAAACAAACTCTGCTTTGGAGAAGCAAACACATGCAATCACTCATCTAAACATCTATCACTTACATGTAAATCTATCTGTGAGATTCTGTAAATTCACTGCATAAGCAGACAGTAACGTCAAAGACAAGCAAACATTCACTTCACAATCGATGGAGGATATTTTGCTTCACAACAATAAATCATGTTAATGCATCGCGTAGCGTTATTTGATGTGAAAATGGTTTCCATTTCTACTACTACTACTTTTTTTTCACAAGCTGCTCAAACCATCTTTCACAACAAACCAAGTGACACCAGAAGTAGAGTCTTATTTTGTGGAAGGTACTCTAATTACACCATACACCTTGAATAAACTTGTAACAGTCCAAGGACCACAGTGGTCTCCAAAGGTCTGTTGTGAATGTGACATTATCAGTGTTGCACACTTCATTTAACTCTTAACAAGTAGACATGATTTCTTTAACTGCATTGATGCTCCTGTTAACCAAGGCACTGCATCAGTGTCGTAGGCAACATTTTTTGAAAGGTATAAAAGTAAAAGCATTAAATGTATGTACCTTAATACAGTACATGACCAATGCTGAACGATTCATCACTAAATCTAACACCTGGATCAATTCATATCCTCAGATCACGGTGTATGCTTTGGTAAGAGTATGTAAAAAAAAAAAAAAACTCTTGAAATTGAATTCAAAATCATAAGTAGAGATTGTCGATCAGTACGACAGACTGCATATGTCATAAACCTGTTACTTGTTGGGGCTTAATTTGCCTACAGTGAGAAAGTTTAAACTACATTACCTACTAGCCTTGTTTGCAAAGACCACCTGACTGATCAAGAAAAGACTCAGAGGAAGTTCTCTGATGTGCAGCTTCAAAAGGGAATGGTCTGTCAGATGTAGTAACTACACGTCAGGTTAGGATATGTGTTATTCTTCTAAGCAGAGACGTCCCTATTTAAGACTAAAAGGGTTTGTGGTGTCAAACTGAAATATTTAGCTACTATTTCTTTTGACCTATCTGAATATTGACAGAGTTTCCCACCGATGTGTAGCCGTAGGTCTGAGTCGACACTTTGGTTTTAAAGCTTTGCTTCCCCCTTCGACTCTCTGCACCTCTGAGCAATATGAAGGCTTCACCTCCATCTTGGCGTGGCTCACCTGGATGGGGACATGCCTTTCCACCCTGGACTGGACTCCGCTGGCTTGTGGGGCTAAGTAAAAAGTAAAATACCTTAAAACTAAAAAAAAAAAAAACAATTTGAAATCTTCATGAAAACCTTTAACTACATCACAATGATATGAAACAGGAAAAACACCAACCATAGAGACATAATTGCTTCTCTTGGAGCCATTTGTTTCTGACATTTATGACACAGATGTCTCTTTTTTTTTTTACTCCTCAGACACAACAAGAAATCCTCGTCCTGGAGAAGTGAATGGCAAAGGTACAACATTCTCCTCTTTTTCAACCACTGTAACCCTTAATCAAATTATATTTGTCCGTGGCACCACAGCTTTCTTAATCCTTATGCTGATGTTTTTCAGAATATCATTTTGTCACACGAGAGGCGATGCAGACAAGGATAGAAAACGGAGACTTCATTGAGCACACAGAGTTTTCAGGGAACATGTACGGGACGAGTAAAGAGGCTTTTCAAGACGTCCAGGCCAAGAACCTCATCTGTATACTTGACATTGACATGCAGGGTGTGAGGAGCATTAAAAGGACCGACCTCAATCCCATCTACATCTCTATCCAGCCGCCATCCATGGAGGTCCTGGTAAGCACAGCCAGATATACACTGCATTACATCACCAAACCGCACTGCACTCCTGTGTCACTGCCAGAGAGGAGTTCCTGGGTGTCACCTCAACTTTTCTCTGATCCACAGGCACCTGGTAATACAGGTTTTAATTGTTGCTTTAAATATCCAAGTAGGCAGCCCAGGTTCAAGTCTTACCTGTCGCTCCTTTATCACATGTCATTCCCCACTCTATCCACTGTCCTATCAAATAAGGCAAAAATCCCCACAAATAAATCTTAAAAAATATATATGTGTATACATTTCTGAACGCCCTCTGTTAAATGAGCACTTTGTCGATTTGTGTCGTTTCAGGAACACCGTTTAAGAGACAGAAAAACGGAGTCAGAGGAGAGCCTCCAGAAGCGTTTACGTGCAGCCAGAGAGGATATGGAGATTAGTAAGTATCTATTCTTTGTCTGCATAAAATGTAATAAAAACGAGCTTTTTAAAAACATAAATCTAAACATAATTCTATCTTCTCTCTCCTTCTAGGTAAAGAGCAAGGATTATTTGATACAGTAATTGTCAATGATAAATTTGGAGGAAGCTCATGGGCAGTTAAAGGCAGTTCTTCTTGAGGTGAGTTACTGGTGCAGCACTCACACCTTAACTTGAAATGATCAAAACAAAACAAATGCTACGAGTTGAGCATCAACAAACAGGCTTTATAACATTTGCACAGAAGGCTTCACAGGCTTTTGATTTATGGGAAATTTAAACGAGCCAGTTTAAAGCTAAAACCAAATACTAAACTCAAAGATGAATTAAATCATTTTAAGTGTTAGCATGCCAGGCTAATCAGCTTGATAGCTATGTTAGTAACCCAGCCTTTCTTCTAAGATATTTGAAGTCAGCTTTTAGCTTGAGTATTAGGAGTTACAAGTCCAACATTAAAAAGCCATCTCGCCAAACTTGCTCTCTTGCACGGTGGAGGCATTCAAGCCAGAGACAGTATTGAACCT